GATGAGGACATCGAACTAAGCTTAACCGAGTCCAACGAAGAAGTCAACATACCAACGATGAGGAATACTCCACGGACAAGGTCAGGGAATAAGAGCTTAAGAGAGGAATTCAACAAGTCTGTCGAGGGTCTAATTACTCTTATAGGGCATGAAGAGCTCAAAGGAAAGTTGTTCACTACAAAGATCAGCCTAGAAACACCAATCGAGCCTCAAAGAGAATCAAGCACGTCAAAGGCTCAAGAATGGGAGATTGCCCAAGACATTAACTATGCTGAGTTAGGAACACGTCAAGAAACCAAGATTATCAAAGGAAGTCAAGAGAACGCTTGCTTGCTGCTCAAGACTCAATCAATCTCTTTCTTGCCAGTTTTACAAGGAACTAATGAGACAGCTTTGTTCATCATCTCAAACACATTCAAGGGAGGGATGGAGCTTGAAAACACGTAGAATACTCCAAGGAGCCAAGGTGAGTATTTGAATTTGAATACAATAACGAGTTTCCTTTTTCTGTTTTGCAGGATTTTTCCTTTCTTTGTGTTGTTTCCTTTTTCACTGTCTTAGACGTCCTAGCATTTATTTTAGGAGTGTCTGTCATTTTTATGCTTTCCTTTTATGTCTTGAGTAGACCCTAGAAGGTCACAGCTGCTGGACTATTAATAAGGTCCCTTTTTAGCATTGTAGTCACGTTTTTTTTTACCTAATCAATAAAACGAGTATTTCTTGCAAAGAAACCCAGCCGCCTCTTGTCTTCTTTGTGTGTGATTCCATAGAAGCTTGAAGCATAGACTTATCACAGAGTCTCTCATCCTCTGTGTGGCGTCCCTCGTTCCCCTAGTCACTGATTTCATCACCATTCATCATATCATCGCTATTGTTTCTCTAGAGAGCACCGTACGGCCAGCTAGTGATTCACCATCTATATTCATCCTTCTAAGAGCGTACCAACGTTCCTACATCATCTGGTATCAGAGCCTAGGCTCACAATCAGGTGAATCTACCCCTTTTCGTATCTATTGTTTTGTTTCTGTTCTTTGATTATCAATAGAAAAGCCATAAAAAGTTTTGATTAGTTCTGTTCTTATTGCACTTGTTTCCTTTTGATTGCATCCTCATTCTAGTGACTCCAGTTGATCTGTCTACATTCATATTAGTTTCATTCATTCATCTAATCG